CCCGGGATTTCCCCCGCACGCCCCGGGGAGAGACACGAAAACCACTTCTCTAGCCTCCCTTGCCATCCCAGGCAGGCCCCCGCCGACCTGTCATTGCTCTTGAAGGGTTCTCCACTTGTGCACACCTCCCAAGTGATAACCTCATTCCGCCTGCTTCCTCCGTGCCCTGGCATCCTTTTTGTAACGGGCTGTTTGATTCCTTTTACTGCCTCCTCTTCCCCGCCTCCGGGATGATAAACTCCTGGCGAGGATGGCACTGAGGTTGCTGGCAAAGAGAAACTGGGATGTGCGGAGTGAGGAAGGGGACAGGCTGTGGTTGTTCTCTCTATCGCACGGGGATCCACCGGCCTCCTTGTATTCCTAGGTGTAGTGGGGGAGGAACCATCCTATGAATCCTGGAAGGATGAGGCAGCAGAGCAGACCTGCCTGGATTAAGTAGTATCTCTCATTCCTGGGGATCAGGACACCAAGCAAAGCAGGGATGGGGATGAGCTGTGCGCGGAGCGGGCCTCTGAAATTGGAAACAGCTCTGGCTGGTGTAATGTGTGTATGTGGTGTGTAGAACAGAGATGGTATCTAATGTGACCAGAGCATGCAGCTAGAGTGCAAGGCAGTCAAGTCGTTTGCACCATGAGCACTTGAAAGTGAAGTAAACCCAGCAGCCCAAAGACCATGATACACAAGTCCCTCTGGGGTTTCAGAAATGATTCTTTCTCCTTAGAGGTTTACTCAATTCCTAAAGTAATTTTTCTGTGTGAGTGACAGTGGTGATGGGGGAAACTGTGTTCCGTTTTTTCAGAAAGAACAAAATACCTTCTTTTGTTTTGGTTATACTGGAATCATTCCTGCTTCAGTTTCTGTGCAGGATTCATACACCCATGAAAATAATAAGGAAATAGCTCTGCAAAAATTATTTGAAATAGGGCTGCAGAGAGATGCACAGCTATTTTATTTTTCCTGCGGGCATGGATTTTCATGGAAACAGTCCATTCAGATTTATTTGAGAGAGCTGTGTTTTGCATGAAAGGCTTCTGTTGACATTTTCAAAAATTGAGACCCTTTGCTGGAATATTAGAGAATGATAACTGTCTCCTTAATGTGTGAAGTTTAGATGTAGCTCTAATCTAGGTTAAGATCAAAGCAATGTAAAACTTACAATTCAAATGATACTAGTGAATGTGTTGGCAATTAAAAAAACACTTGTGCACACATAGGGTCACATTCCCTGTTTTAAATCACAGGATGTGGATTCTTAATGTAAATGTAAAGTCATCAGGTGAACATGTAAAAATAAATGTTTATACTTTCTCGCTTAGTGTCTCTACCAGTTAGAATGGAAGAGCAAATGGAAGAGCCCACTCAACCATTCCAAGGCTACTTTGCCTTGGTTTTTTTCAATGCTGTATCATTATAAATGACTTTTCATTTTAGATACACACACCCTCCCATAATTTCAAAAATTTTATTTACATACTATGTGGATAATAGACTCAAAATAGGAAAAGTTAATTTTGCATTTGTTTTGATAGAGATCCTGGTGTGAGATGTGAAATGTGAAATTTTGTTTATAGAAGTTTTGTTGATGAATCCTGATTTTAAGGTGGATACCCTGTTGTTGTTTATCCTGTGTTTTCTTGTAGACTTTATATTATTGGCATGAAAGGCATTATCCAAGGTTGGATTCAACATTTTGTCGTACATAAGATTTTTGTGATTAGTTATTTGAGATAATCTATTTTGATTATTAGCCTTCTGTGAAATAATATTTCCTCTTGAATATGTATACACATATTGAATGAATGGAAAGTATGGGTATGCTGGATGTGAAACCTACTAACAAGTGATTTAATTTCCAAAAATTAGGTAATACGGAGTTTAGAAACAATGATTTATTCGAAATTTTGTTAGAACTTCATCTCAATGGCTATTTAACTCATTCTTTAATACAGAAAAGAAGTTATCCTTGAGGAAGTATTTGTGCCCCTTAAGTTTTCTCTTTTTTACAAAGTATGTGTAGTATTATTTACTATATATGCATACAGAAATAAATATTCAGATTGTTATTACCATGGCATGCCGTGGCATTTGCTTACAGTTACCATTGTTAGTGTCATCTGGCTTTTGTTGTATAACAGATTGCTATTTACAAATAAAGATGTGCTTGTGGTTTGTAGTAATATGATGTGACTGTTTTCTTAATTGTACTTTTAGAATGCAGCTTTAGAGAGGTAGGTTGAGTTTGTCTCAACTATGTTATTTTTGAGGTTTATAGAATCTGCTAGCATGTATTCAGAGACCCTGATCAGTTCTAAACCTTAAAAATGAAAGAGAATGATGGTGGCAGTGGAGATGAAAAATACTCATTTAGGTTATCCCAGGAGAAAAAGTTACTTCAGTTAGCAAAACTAGTGCTGTTTCATTTTGAATCTTCTTGGATTAAAACAATGGAAAGTAGAAAAATTCAGTAAAAACATCTTGCTAATGACATTTGCTGGAAATCAAAATAATTTGATCTATTTATTGTTTTACATTATGTTTTTAAAGATACATACAGCAAACCGACGGCAATAAATAGAAGAATAACCGTCTTCCTCCCCTCAACCCCTGTCCTGATTTTTCTCTTGGTGGTACTCTACAGGCCTTGTTCCAAACTTTGGCTTTTCTTCATTTCTCTCTATTCCTGCTTAGAATGTTTTGTCTGGCCCTAGCATTCCCTGTTGGTCATAGAACTTTGCTATGTAATAGTTAAAAATACTTAGAGGAAATTAAACCCTATGTGATAATGAGTGTTTGGCTTTGTTAAATCTCTTAACCTTCCTTCCCCCTGTTCCCATCCCCAAGTTATTTTGTGATGGGACTTTTACCTTAACTCAAACTGATTGTAATGGTAGAAATTTTGTAAACTATGGGAGGCTGTTGAGAATAAATTTCTGAGAAGAGTTTTGTGGAATCTCTCAGAAACTGTAGGTAGTACGTTGTTGTGCTTTGTGTAAGGTTGCTTTTGGCTCTAGAGAATGAGCTGTTTTCCAGGTGTATTCACAGCTTAGTACTTCATGTAGACAGAGTACACATAGGGGAATTCTGAAAAGATACTAAGATCCTATATAGAAGCAAGAAGATGCTAATTAAGTATTATTAAGTAAATAAGGATTCCAGTCACTAGTATTTCTAGCTGGGTGAGACTGATAATACTACTTAAAAAGAAAACAAATATGCCACATTGGTAATAACTGTGGTGTTTAGACCTTGATGCAACAGAGTAGTAAATAATGTCATTTATTTGTGGTGTTCCAAGAAGAACTTGTGAATTTATTTTGCTGACATTTTGTTACCATCAGCTGAGTTTCATGTATCTGGTTTTCAATTTGAGTATAGTGAAACTTTATTAATTCAGTATCATGAATTTAAATTTATTGTGAAAAAACACCAGTGTTTGTTGGCTGAAGTTTACATCAGCATTGGATGTGAAGAAGGGGGTCCAGTAATCAAAAAGTATAAACAACGTAGTTCCAGCATTGTTAATATGCCAAGAGAACAAATTCTTTTCAATACTTAGTGAACAGTGTGCAAATTCATCCTGCTCGTTACAAGTTAGGTTGGTCTATTTATTAACATTTCCTTTCGGGACTATTATAAAGTGAACATAACACAAGTACATTGTTGTAAATACATTCAGTAAATTTAATGATTAATGCAACAATTGAGACTGGGATTCAGGGTAATTCTGGTGATTCTAAAATGCCATCAATTAGAATAATCAACATTTTGAAGATAATAGTTTTTTTGGGAAGTGTGGAACAGAACCCTTACTTTAAATGGACAGTATATCTGAAGATATCCAGTTA